TCAAGAAACAATTCAAGTCTATTTCTAGTTATGTCACATGTCAAAAAATCATCACAAAAGCACTAAACCCCCATCAAATACCACATTTCCCCATAGAAGGAGTGAGAGATCCCTCACAGCACTGCCAGTTTCTCTCTTCCAGGCTGTGCCAGGGGAAAATCCACCAGCACCAGCCCCAAAAGCTCACAGGCTGCCCTRGAAGTGCCAAAGGACTCAGCCTACAATCCCTGCAAGAGGCAAAGCCTGCTCAAAGAATGAAAAATAGCCCCAGTTTGTTTTGAAACAACTTTCTCACGTCTCATGGCCAACACACAGCTCCAGAGCACTTTATTGATAAAGCAGCCTTTGATTCCCAGCCTTGAGACACTGACTTGGACAGCGATAAAAGTGATCAGAGCTGCTGGGGCACTCTGGACACAAAGCAGGGGCTTTGCAGCTGCTGAGGACATTGAATGGTAACTGGGGCCAGACTCGCACACCCACAGAACATCCCACTCTTCTGCAGCCACAAGAGCAGTACAGCTCCCATCTCCCAGGTAAAGGGGAGCCCTGCAGGCCCAGCTCCTGCTGCAGCCTGGCTTCATCCCACAGGTGCCCAGGAGAAATATTTCCCGTTTAAATAGAGAGAAACAGGAGCAGGGTCAGAGTCCAGCTGCCTGTGCTGCCAGTGGGAGCAGCACAGCTCCTGCCTTCCCGGGACTCCAGGCACAGCATTAGCTGGAATTTCTGAGCTCTCAGGCAAGGCCCCATTGATTTGTGTACTTCCACTTATTAAAGCATCAGGAATATCAGGRGTGATGAAACCTGACGTGACTGTTGCATCCAGCACACAGGGATCAGCCCCAAGCACATGGGGAAGGGAGCAACGAATCTCAGCCCTGCTCAGCCACCAGTAAGCGATGAAAACAGGATCAGCCTCAGATGGTAAAGCATGTGCTTGCTAATATTAATATTTAAATACTGACAAAGTACTCCATAAGTTGCTTCTACACAAAAGGTCATATGAACTCCAACCAGATAAGCACGGAGCTTATCTGTGTAACTATGCCTGCAAATCAGCTCAGGATATTGAACTCCCAGGCCCTCACTGAACCTCCACTCTTTTAAATATTTTTAATTGCTACATTCCAAAGTGATAAAGCATAAATACTCTTTTCTACAGAGSATGAAAATTACAATGCACCTGTAAACAGGCTGCACCACAAAGCTTCTGCTGCACCACAAATTGCCCGTTGTGCTCCTGCAGCTTCACCCCAAACATCACACAAACAAGCACTAATTCCACTTAACTACATGCAAATGAATCACAAAGAGATTTTTCCAAGAACAAACACATTAGCACGAGCCTGAATAAAGCTTCCTGGAACCAAACGTGCTCCAAGGAATAACTGCAGCCAGGCCAGGAATGTCATTGGAATATTACAGCTTTGTGGGTGCTTGGCTGTGCTGCTTGAAGATACCAAACAAAGTCACCTCAGGCTGCCCCAGGCAGGMAGGGACAGGGGATTGAACTGCTCCAGCCAACAGAAGCAAGGCTGGAAAAATTCTGCTGATGGGTCAGGGCACTGGGATCAGCCTGACTGACAAACTGGTCTGTCCTTGCACAGGGGAGAGTCAGGACAAACCACAGCGAAAATCTTGTTTATGTACAAACTCTCATGTGCCCCCAGCAGCACCAGGCTTTTCTTCTGTAAGTGATCTTGAATCTTTAAAGGGCTAAAATGAGGTTAACAAACACCTATTTCCACTTCACCCCTCCAGTTACTAACATGTATGTGACACCACACTGGGGCCACAAATCCCTGGTAGCATTCAYGCTGCTGCACATACAATGAGGTGTTGCTGATGAATTAGCAAATTCAAGCAGYATCCTTCATTCCCACAACAAAATGGGTCAGCACCAAACAGGAGGCAGTACCWGCTCTCTCTGCTGCTGACAGGGCACAAGCAGATGTTTAATGGTGTATTGGGTCACCCCACAAAGCTCCACTCCTTTCCCAGAGGAAAACTCATCCATTTAACAGAGCCAGGCAGCATCCACAGGGAAAGAAGCGTTGACACAACCTTGAACAAGTTCAGCTGTCACTAAGTGCAGAGCTTGTTAGATATTAATTTAATAATCACAGCTCATCATACCAGGGCAAGCGCTCAGGTGTTCTTTTGTTCCTTGCACAATGGTTTCCGCTAATTATATGGCAGGTTTGGTTTCTCTTAATTAAACAAAACCCAGCACCACTTTTCCCAGAGGAGAAAGGATTGGTAGGAGTTTTCACATGGTTTTATATCTGCTCATTCCCACCACTGTAGGTGATTCCCATCTCCTGCAGGAACTCCAGGCAGTGCTGCTGGTTCCTGAACCGTGGGGATCCCACACCAGCTCCATCCCACACCTCAAGATGCAGCTCAGTGGCACTCTGCTCGAAGCACCACCAGGAAYCCTGTGTTTCCCACTAACTCCAGGTGCCCCTTCCTGAAATTCCAGGCCTCATCACAAGGGACAGCAAGGTTAAAACCCCACCTAAGGAKGTGACACACCTGAGATTTAACAGAGCCCCTCCCCAGCTGTTTCCCAAGAGCTGCAGAAATAGGTAGGTGTCTTTTCCCCTGCAGAGGCCACAGTCTGAACTCACCACTGAAAATCCAATTGTGAAGGTCTAACCCACAGATAACTCAGCAGAACAACCCTTCCCCGATCAGCTTCCAAACAGAAACCARCCCGGGAGCATCTCACTGGTACAGACAGTTTCTAGCTCTGCTGCAAGAACACCTTTCCTTATTACAACCCAGGTCCCAAACACACATTTGTAGCGTCAGGATGCATTCTGGAATCTCAGGAGCACGGGYAGTGTGTGCTGCTGTGGTCCCGATGGGACTGACTACATTAACTCTTTATTGTAAATGCTGGTGAATGAGGCACCTCTTCTGACCTTAAGGCTTTGTGCTGCACAGAATCCCACATCCAACTTTCCAGCCTGCACTCCTGCTAATGACAGGCATTTGTCTCACTATGCAGAGCACAGAACAGGTTGCTCAGATGATTTTCCAAACACCAGCAGCCAGCTGGAGTTGGCAAAACCAGGTAATTCCATTTTCAGGCACAGCGCTCTGGGTTTTACTTTCTGCTGCTTTTTGTGGCTTCCCTCCATCAGAAAKCAGTAATAAAGCCATTCCCAACAGATCCCCATAAGAAGACAGGTAACTATTACCTTCACCTAGAGGAAAATTTCTAAAAGCAGGCAGGATTAGGTTTCTCTCCACCCCCCAGGAAATAGCACTGGGTGGGGAGAGGAGAGAGGGATGAAGTTTCTCAAACAGGCAACTCTTGTACACTCCTTTCAAGCAGGATCACTAAAGCTGCCGCTGGCAGGATTCCCACCCACTTCCCCTCCTTCCCAGCAGGAGAACAGAGACCCGGCTTCATCCCATCAYCCCCCTCACCCTCTCTGCTAACACCAACCTGTGGGGACAGACYTTTCCCCCCACAGAGCAGATTAAAAGTTGCTATTTGACGAGATGGTGGAGTGATCACATAACCAAACTATGTAATAAACAGGGGAAAAAAAAGTTTATCATGGACAAAATTCCCCGTTCTAAAAGGATTTTGCTGAAAGCAATTTCCCTCCACATATTTTARAGCAAGTTCAGCTCTTAAAGGTATTAAGACTGCTCAAACCACCTGTGAAGAGAAGGTTTATTGGAAGTGAAAAATCACCATGTCTATTTAAAACCAAAACAGGTGYTGTCAGTCTTTGTTGAAATTTAATTATTGGGCTAATTTGAGAATAACAAACAGCTCTAAAGTACAGGACAACTAATGAACACAGAGCAGCTCCAGCCCACACATGACAAATCCTCATAACAACCTCGTGAATCACTGCTGTGCTCCGTGAATCCTCGGGCACAGGGATGGGAGCTGTCATTCGCCAGGGAGCTCCATCAGCACTTTAGAGCAGCTCCAGCTCTTCCCCACGAGCTGTTATGTCAGGTAACAGCTCCAGACCCAAGGCAAATGCGCAGGAGGATTTCAGAGATAGCCAGTATCTCAAAGGACAACTGATAAAAKCCAGTGTCTCACATTCACCTCCCTGTCCCGCTATTCCACGTAACCAGCGGCGGGGCGGGTTCAGCAGAGAACACAAGCTCAGGAGGGAAGTGCCACGGTGGATTCCCAGGGAGGCATTTATCGAGCAGGCACAATTAAAGATTATTTACCGCACTAAGCAATTTCCAAACACAGCTTTCTCCACTTGCAAAGATCTCCTCCCTCAACAAAAGTCATCTGCAGGGATGGATGGAGTAAAAATAAAGACCAAGGAAGCTAGTTAAAGCCAGCCTAAATTTTTGAAACCAGAAAAGAAGGCACAGACAACTGCACCATTACAAAGGTGCATTTCCAGAGGTTCTGCCTCCCCCAGCCCTGCATTCCAGACTGGATGATCAGCGATCACAGCTGCGAGGTCACCAGTCACTCTGAAAGCTTTCTGCCCACTTTCTAAGCAAATCCTSCTTCAACAGCGCTCCGATTTCGCCACATTAATTCCTAGCGCAGAACCAGCTCCTGCCCATGCCCTGCACACGGACTGAGAGAGACCCGSGGCGGATGCCAGACGGGGCTCCGCACCGGCTCCCGAGGCTCTTAGGGGAAAAAAGGCGTTAATTTGTGCTGGAGCCAGGGAGCGGCAGCGAAGGCACGGGGAACCTGTTGGGTGTTGGAGCGCAGGAAGCGCCGCGAGGCCGGAGCGGCTCAGGCAGTGTCCTCATCCCGCTCAGCCCCCGGGATCTCCCGCTCCCACAGCCCATCCCAGCTCCCCAAACCGCCTTCTCACGGATCCCGGGCTCTCTTACCCCGTGCTACCGCAGCTCCCCCTCGCTCTCCGCTCCCCGGTTCCGCGGGGGGCCGGAATCCTCCGTGCCCTGCCCCTCCACGAGCCGGGACCCCCGTGCTCTACCCCACCCCCAGGACGTTCTCAGCCCCGCGGGGCTCCTGCCCCGGCACCCACCGTGCTGCCCCCGATGACCGCTTCGTGCTTTTTCAGGCGGGACTTGAGGCTCTTCATGGCGCGGCCGCGGGCGGGGGGCGCGCACCGGCCCCGTCCCGCTCCCGCCGCCGCCGCCACGGCCGGGACGCGCCGGCCCCGCCTCGCCCCGCCCATCCCCAGCACAGCCAATCACCGCCCGCCCGCGCCGGCCGCGCGGCCAATCAGCGAGCGGGGCGGAGGGGAGGGACTTCCTCGTGCCCAAGGGGTGCTGCCCTGCGCGGAGCCGCCCGGCCGCCAGGGGGCGCGCTGCTGGCGGGGCAGGGCCCGCTGCGGGCGGGGCGGCGCTCTGGCAGGGGCGGCCCCTCAGGGCACCACAGAGAGGGCGGGGCTGGGGCTGCCCAGGGAGCCGGATAACCGGGATAAGGATCGGGATAAGAACCGGGATAAGAACCGGGATAAGAACCGGGAGGAGTGGCGCAGGTGTACCTGCTGCTGGGGCACTCCGCCGCTGTCTGTCCAAGGACAGAGCTCCCGGTGCCTGAGGAAGACACTCAGAGTCCTCCCGCTCACCTGCAGCGTGCCGTGCAAATCAATGGGCGCCGTGCCAACACCCCCCGTAATAAACCCGACATTTGTGTACAAAGGAATGAAGAGGTCACACAGCAGAGGTCTGAGCTGGGCACAGGCAACGCTTTAAACAATACAGTTAACTCAGCCTTGGCATGAGGACTGTCCTGAGTTTGAGTTAAGCTCTGCTCATCCCAAGTTTTAGGGTCCTCGCCCCATTTTCCTCGCAGTCTCATGGCACTCCAGTGATGACAGAAGGTTTTAAAACTTATTTGAGACTTACTTAATTACAGCCCATGGGTTGTGTTTATGACCTTGCTTATTAGAGTTTGAATGTAGCTGTTTGATCAATGGATCTCTAATATAAGCAGAGCTGGAGGTAAATGTCACTGAGTTTTAATCAATCTGGCCAAAACCTGTTCAAACACTTGGATTACTCTATAGGTGGSCTGTTTAGAAGGAAAGAAAATGGTGCTTTTAAATATGAACTCATTTTGTGCACAGCAGGGTGGCTGGGGAGTCCAGCAAGCTCCGAGATGGAAACCTTCCCCTGGGCACTGTGACCCTGCATCTGCCACAGACTGATCCCAGATTTGGGCTCTCTGGAGTCACACTGTTCATGCCCCAAATGCCATGTAAAGTTTGTGGTGTTTTTCTCCCTAAAGAGMCATGTTTCAGGCAGCATCTCTCCTTTCATGCCCCCATGGAAGCCTCTGCACTTCCAGGGCACCAACAAAACTCCAGCAACTCCCAGAGCAGAGGTGACAGCTCTGGACACTTCTCCCTGAGCTGGGCAGCCCCACACCGGCTCTCCAGGCCATCAGTCCCTTGGGACCCCTGCTCCACACCACTGTGCCACCCTGTCACCACTGGCACAGGCAATCTGACCCTGCCTGGCACAGAGCAAAGCAACAGCAGCAGCTGGAAACTGGGAAGATCAGGATTCCCTGGTTGTTTTCTACCTGTGGCAACCAAGTGGTTTCCTTTGGTCTTTCCTTCCTATTTCCATTAGCTCTGRAGGTACAGGATTGGAATTCCTCAAGCGCACCCAAAGCGCTGCAAGTCAAAGGGGTGTCTGCCCAGGGATGTGCACAAACACGAGGCAGCARCATTCGTGTCCTCTCAGGAATCCAAGGAAAACATTCAGCCCCAGCACCAGCAGAACCTGGGGCTGATGAGCTTGTTTGAGTTGTTTGGATCAGAACCATCAGAACTTGACCAAGTTGTCACAGTATATAGTTGGTTCATTAAAAATGAGCTTTTATTACCAAAACTTTCATCTTTGCAAAAATATTGTTGGATTCTCAGAATGAAGCTAACAGCAGTAGCTTTCCCCTTTTCCCACCAAATCTGTGCTGTTTAAAGGAAGCTCCTTCTGAGTCATTCCAGTGCGAGGGAAAGCAGAATCTTAAAAATAACTCCTTGCTCTCGAGTCAGTGCCGAGAATCTGCACGGAGCAGTTCCAAGWGCTCGGCCAATTCCGGCACCGTTCCCTGTCCCCAGATAATCACACACATCCACACATTTGCCCCCGCCAGCAGGTCCTGTGCTCTGCTGAGAGCTCACCAGACGCTGCACTGAGATGATGGCATCTGCCTGGTGATCCAGCTCTGTCCCGCTGGAGTCAATCCCAGGAGAAGTGTGTCCCAGGCACACCACAGCTCTCACTAGCCAGCTCTGTGCAGGGTAGAGCCTTCAGCCAGAGTAACTGGAGCAGAGCCTTCCCATTTTTCCCTGCTGTCAAAGCAGGAAGTTCCCTATCTGAACACCATCTCCCAGCCCGATGTGTCAGCACCAGAACAAGATGTTTCATGTTGAATTACTGGAGCCTGACTTGTCGGTGTGAGTGGCATCCCTGGGAGCCCAGCTAACCAACCTCACCTCCCAGTCCCCAGGCCAAGCCAGGCTGTTGCAGGACAGTCTGGATTTCACCTGTGGCCCTTCCCTGACCACRTTGCCAGAACTATTCCCTCATTCTGGACACTTCTACAGACTCTTTCTCCAGACTTCTCACTTCGCTCTTCAAATTAATCCAGGCTGCTGCTGTTAAGATTCTTGGCGCATATTTCCCACTACATCACCCCTTTGCACGTCCCATCCCCTCTCTGCCTGTTAGCTAGATGATATATAATGGAATTATAAAATCCTGGAATGCTTTGACATTCCAAGGGACCTTAAAGCCCATCCAGGCCCAGCCCCTGCCAAGGGCAGGGACACCTTCTACAGACCAGGTTGTTCCAAGCCCTGTTTTTGTTCCTGGTCCCTGTTTTTGTTCTGCTCTCGCCATCACTCCATTCCTGGTTCTTGGCTCSTGTCCCTCATTGTCTGGCCAGACACTCTCCCAGCTCTCTTGGAAATGAGACGAGCTGGGACAAGCCAGCCTGCTGTGGTTTGTGTTCCCAGTGCGTGGGCACCATGATTAGAGCACAACCTGAGGCTGGTGAGATAAGGTCACTTGAAGCTTTCCAGAGAGAAATCTGGAGTTCTTGCTGGAGATTTGTTCTCCGCTGTCCCCAGCTCCGTGATTTCTCTGTCTGTGATTTTACCCCTCAAAGCACAGGTTTTCTTGGAGTGGTGGCTGACATTGCACATCTCTGTGCACTGACTCAGGGYTTGGTGGATGTTGTGCCTCAGCAGTTCTGTGAGCAGGGAAGCTGTGTCCCAGGGCCACTGGGAGCTGCGGGCACGGCTGCCTGCACTGACACACACTTAGTGCCGTCCCAGTGACCAGGGCTGGCAGCTGAGCTCAGCACGCAGCTTATGCAGCTCCCAAACCATCACCCTGTGTCTGCTCAAAYGGCTCATTTTTGTGACAACCTTCGCTTACAGCAGCACAACAAAGGGRAGATTTATCCCGACAATGTTTGCCYGATAAGTGCCGAGTTAATGGCACACGAAATGTGCTGGCTGGTCCTCTGCAAGCCTGGGATCTAATTAATCCCTGGCAAGTCCCCCTGAAATAGAAGCAGTGTTGGCCTGCACATGTAGCAGTCRAGACCAACTAATTGGAGCCAAACTGTACAGCAAGGCAGGAGGAAGGAATTGCTGCAGCACGGTGGGATTTCCAGAGTTACAGTGCCAGAGCCTGCCTTTCTGCTCCATTGGAAGAGCATTTGTGCCATTCTCTTACCCCATTCAGAGCTCAGAAAGCTTTTGAATCAGAGTCACAACAGCACAGAGCCAGGTAGTCACACACTCCACAAAATGAGGTGGTACCAACTCTGAGTGGGTGAGGCCCATTTCCATGACTCTGAGACCTTCCCCTGTGCTCAGTGACACCTTCTTGCACCTGGACAAACCATGGCAACATCTGTCCCTAAAAAAAGTCTCAATAAACTCTGATTCTCAGCAGTTTCATACAACAGAGAAGCAGATCAGTGTGARTATATATATTCCAGTTCTCCAGGGGGTTCATTTATCAATCCATTTGTAACAGGACATAAAAATCAAACCCCAGCAGGACTGAAAGGGAAAYATGCTCTTGGCTTTCTATTTCCACCTGGGTCATTAAATTACCCAGCAACCTCCTGCATCACTTGCTGGCTTAATCATCTGGATAAATTAATCCCCATGCTAGGCACACATGCAGAGGAGGATATAATTTTATCTCTCTTTGCTCTTGAGCCCAGTCTCCACTGCAAGATAGACCCCATGGGGTCTTATTTCCATGGGGTGTCTGACACCCTGCTGGGTGCAGTGTTCCTGGCAGGGCACATGGGTCCATCTGGTGTCCCTCAGACCCAGGTCTCAGGGTCACACCAGGCATGTCCAGGAGCACCGATGGCCACACAGAGCACACTCGTGGTCACTGCTGTCCCAGCAGCCCCTGGAGCCTAGCTGACTCCCACCTTCCCTAGGGCAGCTCCTCCCCATCCCCAGGGGCGCCAGGCAGGTGTGCACAAACCTGCACTGCTGGATGGGGAGGGGACATGGCCCAGGATGTACAGACACGCAGTGGGAAGGTTAACAACACATAGCTGAAGCAATCTGGTGCCCAAGCTCTAAAAATCATGGCATTACAGAATTGYTAAGACTGGAAAAGAGCTCTCAGATCATCAAGTCCCACTGTCAACCCATCATAACCACCATGTTCAGCACTAAACCTTGTCCTCGAGTTTCAAATCCACGTGGTTTTTTTAACATTTCCAGGGATGGTGACCCCACCATTTCCCTGGGCAGCCCCTTCTAACGCTTGATAACCCTTTCAGTGAAGAAATTTTTCTTAATATCCAACCTAAACCTCCCTTGGCACAACTTGAGGCTGTTTGCTCTTGTCCAGTGGGTTGTTCCTTGGGAGAAGAGCCCAACCCCACATCACTACAACCTCCTTTCTTCTTACTCCTTTCACCCCCATTTTGCTCTGGGCTCCAGGAACAGGAGCAGGAAGGGAAACATGTTTAGACGGCAACCTGCGCTCAGCAGTGTTTGCACACTGAGCTCCGAGACCGCCTGGCCTGAGGCCGAGCTCGGGAAAAACAAAGCCCGTGCCAACCTCTCGGGAGCCGAGTGTGATGAGCAACCAGTGCCAACTTGGCTGCTCTCCCTTGCTCCTCGCGGCTACTCCAGAGCAGTGCCCGACAG